GTGTATCATACCCCTTACTAACACTATCTCACAGGCTGCAGGTGGAGGAGACTCCTCATTGGATTTATCTATGATTATCCACCATGAGATTGATCATTATATGGGTAAACCTCTTCTCCTGAACATGCCCCACTTCCTCCTGAACAAGCCAAAATTGTTCAGGCTGATAGGGATTTTTATAGCCTTTTTTCACCACCAGATTTTGCTGTGTCTTCCTTTGCCCCTCCTGCAGAATCATTGTCCCTTGGAGGACATACTTCAATTAGGCATGTGGACTACCCCTCATACATTCATCTCTCACTACTTGCATAGGATTGTGGTATCTTCATCTTCAGGTTATCATCTTCCACTTATAGCCATTCGTCATACTTCAGTGAGACTTTAACTATGTAAGTTATCTTTTATTGCTCTTTTCTTCCAGTTCAGGGACCCTTTTTCCTTTTTTGTTGCTACTCATTGTCTGAATCCTGATCTGTGGTGAATGGTGCCTGGCCAGGTATTCTTTAACAATTCAAATCCACTCCGTAAAACCATGTTATCTTACATATTATGATTCTATGGCCACACAGTGCACACTGATGAAATGGGTGTTCCACAAGATTACTTGTAGGTTTATCCTTGTGATAGGATTGATTCATAAGTTTACACTTCCCAAACTGTACTTGCCTATGGACTACACGGATAAAACAGAAGGAGTGACCTGCCCATCCCTGCCATGCCTTGTATTGTATTGAATAAATTGGTATGGTCTGCTTTACAAAATAGGGTTTCATTGTTACCCATTGCACTGTCACAAGTGTTGTCATTCTTTCAGACTCTCCACTGTGCTTTCTTGCCTCTTTTTTTTCCAGTGGAGTTTAAGAGTCCTTACCAAGCCACTGGGGTTGTGAACTGTGGAGGCACCATCCTGAATGTGGTAATGAAATACAAATAATTTTTATAAATTATTATAAAACCATTCAGATTAGAGTAGGGCAGAGATGTTCTGCTGGTGTAAATGATGAGATATTCTCCACTGGAGTGAGCCATCAAAATTGCAGTTCACCCCTTCAATTGGGATCCCTCATCCTACCCCCATGTGGAGGTTGGTTCCTAGTGGCTGGGTTTTGGACTTAGAGCTGAACCAATCATCATAAGTCCACACTTATGTACTACAGATGTCTCTATTTCCTCACTCATTTATACACTTGTTACTTCATCCATTTTATGGGTCACATTGGAGAAACTTGCAGATTACTGTGGTTCTACCCCTTCAGCTATTTCTTGATGCTTATTATTCCAGTGATGTTATTGTGCTTAGGGTGGTTCTGGTTATTATATATTTCAGA